GGGGGGGACAGAGATAGATAGCGGGATGAGAGAAAGAGAAAGGGTGGAAGATGAGGGGAGAGAGGGATGGTCTCCAGCAGCAGCACCATGAAAAGGTCCCAGAAGGAGCCGATACATCACCAGCCTCCCCTCTTTCCTTACAAGACAAGCCGTCTTGGCCACTTTTTCCAGGTCAGTAGCCAGCGCATCCTGTCAGCGTAAACAAAGGGCTCGCTTTGTGAAACCCAAAGTCAAGTTGAGAAGTAACGAGGGCACGATCCTCCTCGGAGGCACCTCAGGCATCATCCTGCCACAGCTGCCGGCAGCGAGGACGCGACGCAGCTTGCATGTGAAAACGCCACTTGCCGAGCCACGACGGGGGAAAAGGCGCGGGGAAAGTTGCGATGGCTCCTCTCTGATAGTTTCAAGCCCAGCGCTGGATGGCTCCATCATGACACACAAGACTTCAATGAGAAGAATGCCACACGTCTGATAAGAAACATCGTGCCTCTGATATTGAAATGCGGTTGTATCATTTGATTTCAAATGCAATGACAGATTCAACTGCCACTTCTTCAAGTCTGAAGCTTACAGTGATCTAAAAGCCCACCTATGAAAAAAAAAAAAAAAAGAGTGTTTCGGGGGTGCTGAATAAGTCCTATGAAGGATCTCTGGAGACAGACACCACGATGAAGCACTGAGAGGCACAGCTGTGAATAAAAATATATAAAAGGCAAACAATCAAAAAGCTCTGGGGAGTGGAACCAGGTGGGAAAGACATACGAGAGGTACAGGGAACCAAACCAGTCCTTTCAAAGAAGAACAGAGAAACAAATGTTCTGGATCTTTTCTCCCAACTGGAAATAGATGAACTGTTAAAAGAACTGTTAAAAGAACTAAAGCTGATGAGCTAATGTTGGATCCGGGGGGGTGATTAGCTTAGCTTAGCTAAAGACTGGAAGCAGGGGGGGGGGCTAACGTGGCTCTCTCCAAATAAAAAAAATGTGGCTACTGGCAACTCTAAAGCTCACCTGTTAACACATCGTAAACTAGTTATTTTAATCCTAACAAAAACAAAACCAACCACACAATGACGACAAGTCATGTTTACATTCCTGTTTGTGTGAAAAGTAGGCCAGTCACAATAACAGATTTTCACTACAAGATTGTTGTGGCCAAAATAATTCATGACGACAATATTATCATGATATCTACAGAAAATAATAATGCTATCAGACAAATTCATCTTTAACTTTGTTTGTTGTGGTTTTGTCTGTTTTGGCAAATTGATTACACTCAAAACACGAGTGTGGAGAGAGAGTCTGTAATCAAAACTGCATAAAATGATAAAAACATTATCTTCTGTGTATCATTAATACAATATCAATATTTCATTTTTTACACACCACCTTATCGTAAACAAACAAGATACAACATTGTAGTTCGTGAGTGTTTTGAGTTAGAAACAGAGCTAGGCTAGCTCTTCAGCTAAGCTCAGAACCTTCTGGAAGTAGCTTTGGGCTGCACACAGGCATGAGAGGGGTATCCACCTACTCTTCTAACTCCTGGCAAATAAGATCGTTTTCCTTAACTTTCAAAACTACTTATTTGAAGTACAGATGCTCACTCAAAAAACAGCCATTGTGTTAGAATGGGCATCCTCGCTAATGGTGGTGCTGGGCTTCACCAGACAAACTTCACAGTGATGAGTTTATATCAAATGCTCAGGTGAATCTGAAACACACAATTCTCCACTTTGCAAGCCGTGCACAGAGCGCGAGTGTGCGTGAGTCTACTGGCGTTTGATGTTGGGTGGCTGCCGGTGCTTCAGCAAAAGCTCCCGATCCCAGTGGAGCAGTGTTTGATGTGGGCCTGTGCTCGCTTGTGTTGGAACAACCTGCTCTAAGTTCACAGATGTGAGCGCAGCGTCTCGGAGAGCAAAAGAGTTAATCAGCCCTTTGATCTGCTGTATAAAATGTATGGTAAGTCTGGTAAGTCTGGTGTAAATGGGTAAAATAAATAAATCAATACAGCGTAATATCCTGAGACTTTCCGTTCTCAGTGCTGCATTAGCACACTGATGCCAAGTGATGAGATTTGTGTCCGCAGATAAAAGACCACATATGTTCTGGAAAATGGGACGAATGCATTTGAGATAATGCTTCAGAGTCAGAAAGGCCTTGAATTTCACGATGGAGGCTAATTTGCACTTTACTATTTTACGTATTTTATTACCTTGAAGGATGTGTTTTACATTAAATGTACTTGTATTGCGCTTTTCTAGTCTTACGACCACTCAAAGAGCTTCGGTGATTATCAAACGTACACTTGTTGTAACTTTGCATTAGTCGTCTCTTGTTTTCCGTGGCAGCTCGAATTCATAACCCAGATCATGTTTCAAAAGACTTATTCAACCCAAAGTCTGTTGTGAAAGATAACTTGTAACATCTTCGTCTACAATACATTCCCTTAAGTCCAAACTATCCCCGAATGATGAACCGCTGCTGTACAGCCTGGGGCTTAACAAAAAAAGGATTTACAAGTTACCGAGTTTCTATCCCAGAGCTGAACCAGCGTCGGTGACTGGCTCTCAGCCCTCCACAACATGCACAGTATTTGCACATCAGCTGAAATGTATTGGCGCACTGGAGCAGCAGCGGAGGAAGTCTGACGGGGTTTCTCTGCGTTTGTCACTACCGTGTGGTGTGAACGCAGTTCCCCTGCCAGTGGCTTCGTTCTGATGCCAACCCACCATCATCTGCCAGAGATTAGAACGAGCTGGGGTGTGTGTAGGGTGGAGCAGGAAGAGGCAGAAACAGAGGGAGGGGTCGGGGGTGTAGGGAGAAAGCAAGAAGTCTGAATAGGAAGCGAGAGAGAGGAAGAAAGATGTGCCCTCCAGCTTGTCGCTGTGCTTTGTTTAACTTACTCACTATCTTCTCTTTTTAAAACACAAGAACGGCTCATACAAACCAACCGATCCTCCACCACACCCTTAAACATTCCTATCATTGCTAAAGTTGCTGTGGTACTTTTAGGGGCAACATGGGCTCAATTTAAATGACTCTCTGTGGGCATCAACCAAACATCATTAACTCTTTGCCTCTGGTGTGTCTGTTAGTCTAGTGGCAACCAGCAACAATGTCAGGAAGGGAATCTTGCTAATCATCAAAGTAAACTCGATGAATAAGTCATCTAACAGCTCTAAAAAAACAAAAACACATTGGAAGGCTGCCAATATCCTGGATGTAAGTTATGCTGTACAAGCAGCTATTACATGTTCAACCAACCGCAGTGAGCAGAACAAAAAGAAGATTATATTTCAGATCAGACTTTTAATCAGTGATATTTTGGACCTGCGACAAGGCTGGCAAAACATTTATAATAATAATAATGATTCATAAATACATTAACTGTGGCTTTTACAGTAGAGGAGATGCAAACAGCTTTACAGGCTTTCCATGCGTATTAAATGAAACTATGTGTTGTAAGTCGAGATGCATACTCACAACACAGTAGCCATCAGGGGCCTTGCTGAGCGAGGCGATTACTCCGACTGCAGAGATGGGGTCTGCTGGCAGCTGGTTGCTCACTTCAGACATGTCAGAGCTGCGCTAGAGAAACAGAAGAGCCTCATCACTTGTTTGGCATTTCACCAGAGAAAACGTACGGCAAGGATCCGCCGTTGTTTTCCTCTAGAAGGAACTTTAGATACATCGTGGAAATCAATGCATGTAAATATTGAGAGAATTGTGTTACAAACCTGTACTTTGGCACAGATGGTCCCGGTTAAAAAAAGGGGGAGCAATTTAAATGTTAGAGCTTTGAATAAATAAGCAAAATGCAGCTAGTGAAACCAGAATAAGGACTTCACCCTTCAGGGTCATTAACTGGAGAGTGGACAAGGTTTTTCTTGGCTGAAATGACCACATTATTGACTTCCTGATGAGGCTTATTAGGATCTAGAAGAAAAAGTGCCCCTCTAATCCAGGACCGAATGACAAGTGAGACCAACGACAAAAACAGCATTCGGACACCACCCAATGACTTCACCAAATCACAAATTAGGGGGAGTGATCACATATTTCCAAGGAAGTCCCAATCAATTGCTATCTATTCCTGTCCAAGGGAATTTTTCCCTAATGGGTATGCAAGCCTTTTTACGGGGTAAGTGGCTTTGCAATGGTTCCCTTACGCAATTTTATTAGATTAACTTTAAAGCATTCTTGTACTAACTGACAAAGTTGCTGCATTCAATCTTGATGTTTACGAAATCTATTGCAATTAAGCTGATCCAATTAGGGGATTTACTCCAAAAAACAGCTGTCTCTCTAACAAATGTTGGATAGCCGTACTTATTCAAATGAAACAGGATAGCAAATGAGCTAATGGAATGAAGGATGTCTTTGTAACATTCATTTGTTGAAAATGAGCTTTGTTTTGCAGCGCCACATCAAGGCTTATAGACTCATCCGAGCTAAAGAAAACTAACTTATTTCCTGCTCCAAAGTAAAGCTGTGTGTTCCTACATGTGTCTATATTCAACAGTGGGTCTATGATGAATATAGTAAACAGGCATGAACGCAGACTATAGAGAACATAATGGATTTTCCGGCATTTTGCTCTGATGGTAACTGTGAGGTTTGTTTAGTCTCGCTAATTATAAAGTTAATTAACTTTTGCAAAATATGTAGATGACAATATTTAGCACAGTGTTGAAGTCTCCACGGTGTTGGAAAGATGGAATAAGTTGGTGAAAGTGTGGGAGTTAACTTGTGAGCATTTGATCTTCACATTGTCACAATATGTACAAGATTACGAAGTAGCTAACACTCACTATGGCTATTTAATACACATATTGATATGAATCACATTTTACGTTTGCCGTCATTACTATAATTCAATTTGTATTTATTTTGTGAATCATGAACTAATTAATGATGCCGTCTCAGTCGTTATATACTCGGATAAGAAGAGGGGCCACATATACTAATATGTATTTAATAATGTGCTGTTTAACATCTGATCCACGGCTAAACAGAAATCACTGTTGTCTGCAGATATACAGATGTTGAGCTCACGTTAACATATCACTGTTATGCTAAACCCGTGTATTTTACTTTTACAGAAACGTCTGTTTGAGCACATATATGAATAGTAATTGATGTAAGCCAACCTGAAAGTGTTCGAGCCGTTCGGGAAGGAAAGTAAAATCCAAACTAGTTTGTCGTTAGGTTTCTGTTTACCTGGTTGAAACGTTGGCCCGTCTCTTCCGGACTGCTGTCACCTTTTCAACTTTGGACTTTAACCGGCGCGAACCACTTCTGGATACCACTGATAACAAATCATTAGCATAAACCTGTTGCTAGGTAGAATCTCCTTGTGACTTTTTTTTCTGTGAAAAAAAATGGTACATAATTAAACAAATGTAAAGAATCATAGACATGTTTACTAGTTTCAGTGGGCACATCTTACTTCACCCTACTTTTTTGTACATTTTGAAGAGTCATTTTAATTTATCTTTAACTGAGGGACCAGCCTGCAGTGAAACTTACTCAAAGTCGTTGCTTCAAAAAAAAAAAAAAGTTATGTTAAGTTAAAAGTTATTATTTATGCTGATAGCTCAAAATGAGTTGTCGTTAAAAATGGCAACAAACTGCTCAGCACAGAAGCAGCTGGATTCTTGACATTCAACTCAACAGAGAACATGATATGAAAACACCATCAGAAAGCTATGTGCATGATAAATGTGCCAATTTACATTGTAAGACTGAATTGTCTGTACACAGAGAATAAAGACCTAGGCCAACAGTGCCACATTGACTCGTGGCTGTATTTCTTTGCAATAACTTTTGAGATCCAATTTGCCTCTGGTAACTAAATTAAGGTTGTGCTTTACTAAATGACTATCATTACGCCGATGTATCTGCAGGTCACGCTTTCTGATAGTTGGTCGTCTCTCTAATCATCACATGTCATTACTGTAATCCGATAAAAGTAAGATAAAGAGCAATGTATTAGCTTAGCTGTAACATGAGGATGTACATCTCCCAAGAGTACAACATTTGAAAGCCTCTCTGTAGACTGTCCAAAACACCGAGGGGCGACAGATGCGTTCACATCGCCAAGTTTATTATTTCTACCCCCATCATATCATACCAATCAAATAAATTATTTCATTGTGCAACTATTATCCTAATTTATTCAAATCAAAGACTTGTTGCTCTGTTTGGTGACATGCTGCCATATGCCAGTATGGTGTCTTCATTGGGGCCACACACTGTGAAATGTATTTAGGGGCTTACATGGCTGCACATGGTGTGATCAGTTTTCCATTTTTCTAACGCTTCTATTAATTACAGAGGAGACATTCAGAGGGAAATTGCCAACTCATATGACCAACAACCTTCACCACCTCCCCACTTACTGCTAATGTTAATTAAAGAGGCAAAATTTGTGTTCCTAAATTTAATTTCGGAATTCTCAACAGGCAAACATGTCACAGCCTTCTTTTACAACCTTTTTATCAATTATATATGTATATTCTGCTTATAGATTTCTCAACAACACAGTTCACTAGATGCAATTCATAAACAACATTATTATGATTTTTTTTTGTAAAACCTTCTTGCACTTTCTTCCACTCCTTAGTAACTTTAACTGAATAGACATATTAGCAAATACGTTCTTGATAAGAGACGATCAACACCACTAAAAGCTATCGTCGGTTTAGCTTAGCTTAGCACAAACAGAGGGAACAGGGGAAACAGCTAGCCTTGCTCTGTCCAAATATAACAAAACCATCCTACCAGCCTGCTTGTAGATGGATTGTGTTATCCTGGACAGAGCCAGGCTAGCTGTTTCCCTTTGCTTACAGTCTTTATGCTAAGCTAAGATAACCCAGCTTCACGTTTACTGTACAGACATGAGAGTGGTATCAGTCCTCTCATCTAAAGGAAAGGTTCCTCTCATCTAATTCTCAGCAAGACAGTGAATAATCGTATGCTGCCTTAAAAGAGCAGTGTTGCAATCAACATTGTAAAAGTCTATCTCATAGTGTACCCATTCAACCTTTCAGTATTTGAGTTAATAAAGCTAAGTGAGAATATTTTTGGGATATAGGGCTCTCTTATTTCTGCAATAAGTGGTAGCCCATTGGGGCTAAGAGCTTCTTTAGCCTGCTATGCTGCCCATTGATACTCTTATAACCTTCTTTGTGAGTGTGTGTGTATGTGCGTGTAAGCATGCGCCTTTTGGCTCAACTAAATATGACCTAATATGGTAAGATATTGGCTCAACTAAATGTTATCTAACATGACGGTGGAGCCTTGAGATCCTGAGAGATGTGTGTTGTTTGTAAGTGTGAGTGAGACATGCGGCTCTAACATATAATGATACTATGTGCAGGACATGCATCGATACTACCATGTATGCTCCTGTATGCCAGTAAGAATGTAATAGAGATGGTCATCGAAAGATGAGAGATGAGAATTGTTAGGCTATATATAATTATTATTGTAGCAGAGAAATTTACATGGTGGAAGAGAATTTCTTTCTACAATAGACTTCATTTGTGAGATGTAACACCCCCCATGATCACAACCACCCACCTCACACACACACACACACACACAAAATCCCACAAACACATGCTTCCAGATCAAGGTGTCGACAACCTACTGAAACAGGAACGCTTGTTTTATGTAGAAATTGAGTCAGTGCTGAAGTTGATAAGATAAAATTTCAGGTGTCAGTGAGAAAAGAAGGAAAAAAACCCAACACATGCTCCGGCTGAGAAGAGGTACACCTGCTAAAGTAATGGTCTAATTATGGAAGAGGTGATGAAACACTTGACGAGAGTCTGGAGATATCAGCAACACATGCTAACTGTGAAAGCCATCAGCTATTACAGTGTTTTAATGTGCCGCACATCACATGCTGAGGATTGTGGGGTAAGATGAATGATGGCTGTGGCAGATTTCTGTGGGGGAGCAGCCAGTGTAGCATGCATGGCATTACAGCTGGCATTTTGAAAAGGTTCATTAAAACTGTGATTTCTTTGTTCACGCTTTGTTTCAAACATGCTTTATGGCCCATCTCGGTTAGAGTCGACCCCATAAACACTGGATCATCCTATCGTGTACAAAATATCCTTCACATATTTTGGTGGGTCTTAACAATGTTGAAGTTGTGAGCGGTAATCAGTGGATGACAGAAGAGCCCCTGGACCGAAATTATACCTCAGTGAACAACTTTGCACCCAAATGATGAAAGAAAAAAAAAAAAAAAAACAGCAAAGGTTTTCTTTTTGTGTGTAAAGGTCATTCACTGTGTTTTGTAATTTGCTGACACTAGTCTGGGGACTGAAGATGGAGATTTCTGTGTTGCCACCCCGAGAGTAATAATATCCCTATCTCAACTTGGGAAATCTACCTCGCCCCAATGTCCCCGTCACCCGTACGAACCCATTATGGGCTGTGTAGAAATCTGCAGGTCTCATTTCATATATGACCCTCACCCCCCTCCCCCTCCTCCTCCCCTTTCTGTCTACACATAAAAAAAAAAATCCCTGTGTCTCCTGAATAGCTTATAATAACGAGCTTTAAGAAGCCTTCCCTTAGTGCCCCCATAGGATATGGCCCTGCAAGGCTCTATGATATCATGCTTTTTTTTTCTAATTAAAGGTCAGTTTGGTCCATTCTCATTGTTGCCTTGTCTAAAAAAGATCTCCTGAAACATGATGGCTTTGCCAAATTAGATTTAATTTTCCATTTATGCCATCTGTTTTCTTGGCTTAAGCACTGAATTGCACACATTGGAAATGTAGGAACTGTCAGATTCAGTTTGTAATCCTTGACATTTGTATAGAAAACATAGATTATAAAGGTAGTATAGAACTGCCTTTATCTGACCTCTATGGTGCATGTTGGAGAGCGTAAGCTAATATTGTGCACCTAGAGACGTTCAGTCTAGCGGAAGTAATTCCTTTGGTAGTGTTTTACATACACTCATCTCTTTCCAGCTTATACTTTATTACTCAACTTATCATCATACACACACACACACACCCTTACACTCACATGCATCTGCGCATGCACACCACACACATGCGCATGCATACACACATATACTTTCCTCCGTCTGGTGGGGAGTCTGGACTGCTCCGACTGACTGCGCCTCACTGCCCTTGTGCAGTGGTGTGCCAGTTGTGCCTTCCCCCATCGCTGTGAATGCCACCATCTGGTGTGCCACGTGGACATCATAATCTCCCCTTAATTACATTAGCAGTGCAATCAGTTACTGCATTACAAGGCCGGGCGAAGAGCTTTTAAATCTTGGAGGAAATCATAAATAATTGCACTAAGTACCCAGCGCCAGATGTGCGTGCCAACTTGGCCGGCATGAGATAAATAGTAACCTCAACAACGGTGTTCAATATCGACTCTGCAAACATTTTTTGGGGCGGTGAGTGATCCCCTCGTCTTTTGCTCCCGTACCCGTCCTCGTCCTTTTCCCTTTGGACACTCTGACTTTGTGGGTTAGAGCATACAGAGAGGTCGGAGTCCATTGACTGTATCGTCAACTACCTGTTGCTGTGCTCTTTCCCCGGCGCAGTGTGACTGATGGCATCCAGGAAAAAGTTTGTAACAAGGAGTTTCACAGCGTCACCATTCACTCCATTACTGCACCCTTCAATCATCGCTCAGTCGTGTAATTAGATGTTTCTTCTCAGGTATCTTGTGCTGGAAATTGAAATTCTTTATGGATTCTGAATAGTTGGGTTGGGTGTGTGAGTGCATGGAGTAAAAAGACATTACACCTGATGAGCCACCATCATGTCTTCCTCCTCGGAGGGGATGTTGCGTTGTGTTGCATGGTACTTTTCACTCATCTTCCTGTCATGTTCCCGCTTCCCACAGCGGCTCACACAACGACACACATCTCACTCAGTTCATTGCCAGCTTAAGAGCACTTCCTCTTACCCACTGGCTCGATGAGGCCACTATCCTGTGTCAAAACACCAGTGGTCACCTAAGATCTAAACGGTAGCTCCAACTCAAATTCAAGTAGGAGGCACTAATAGACATTTTCCATGTAAAACATCTTGACTCGTTAAAGCAGGAGAAGAGCAGGTGCAGCTAATGACACTAATGAGTGGGCCGGCATGCACAATAGCACAGTACTGGAACTGGCATAACTAAATTGTATGGAGCCATTGTATGTGTTAGTAAATACACCTGTGCTATTCCTGTTACGACATGTCAAAATATCT